AGAGAAGGCTGCGGGGAGACCTGATTGCAGCCTTTCAGTACTTAAAGGGAGCCTATAGGAAAGATGGGGACAATCTTTTTAGTAGAGACAGCAGTGACAGGAGGAGGGATAATGGTTTTAAACTAAAACAGGGTAGGTTTAGGCTAGATAAAAGGAAGAAATTCTTTACAATGAGGGTGGCGAAACACTGGAACGGGTTGCCCAGAGCGGTAGTGGAGGCCCCATCCCTGGAAACATTCAAGACCAGGTTGGACAGGGCTCTGAGCACCCTGATCTAGTTAGTGCTGTCCCTGCTCGCTGTGGGGGGGTTGGACTAGATGACCTCTGGGGGTCCCTTCCAACCCAAAACTTTCTATGATTCTGTGAATTGGCAATATCTAAATGAAGTTAAGGTAAATGGATCCAATGCTAACAAATCCATTAATGTGTTCTCCCTGTATTTAATGTATTCTTGACTATAAAAGATGCTGCATTTGGGAATACGTATGTTAAACTGTTAAAATAATTTTAACTAAAGGATAATACTTTTTAACTGGAAAGTAACTGCAATTGACTTTGTCATATTAGAAGGAATACATTAAATTACCAGAACCATTATATGTCAAATTTGAATTTGTAGAGAAATAAGGGAAAAGCAACTCCTTTAATGTATTCATATTTGACATGAAATTCTCTCGTTTTGCTTAAATGAAGAGCCTGTAATTTAAGTCAGATACACTTCTGGACTGACCTGTAAAAATAGGAAACCGGAATTTTTCGGATGCTCAGCACTGGCAACCGTAGCCTGGAGCCTCTCTCCTATTGTTTCTGCAGCCTGCAGTCTAAGTCCTTAAATGGCATTTCATGTGCACAGCTGCCAAATCTGAGGGCTTGGTGGATTTATTACTGGCTGGACAACTGCACTCTGTTTAGTTTTAAATTACCAGGAGGCTCCAGCCGGCATCCACATGGAGAAAATGTTGGGATTGCTACCTGTCCTGGACGTCCTTTCCTCAGAGGCAGGGATGTGAGAAAGGGCTCAACACAGACTGTTTTAAATCCTGTTCCTGAGGCTGATTCATCGTGGGGCCTGGCAGCCGCGGATCCTTCGAATAAAACTCTCGTTCCCAGCAACTTTTGCCCGAAGAAGTGAGACTAAAGGTCACGGAGCGAGATGTATCACACTAATAGTTATGAATCAGATAGGCTACATCCAAAAACTAATTTGTTTGTTTGTACAGATTTTTTAATCTAAAGAATGACTATTATTTTTAATGCAAAGGGCTCATCATATAGACATTTAATTTTCAGTAATTTTATAGGACACAAATCTTTACAGGGTTTTGAGCTGGAAATTACCAGCACTTGATCTGCATTAGTGTATCTGCGTTTACTTTCATACTTCATGTGCCTCAGTCAATTCAAGAAAGCACAAGAAGGACATGGAACTGTTGGAGCGGGTCCAAAGGGGGGCTACAAAAATGATCCGAGGGCTGGAGCACCTCTCCTGTGAGGACAGGCTGAGAGAGTTGGGCTTGTTCAGCCTGGAGGAGAGAAGGCTGCGGGGAGACCTGATTGCAGCCTTTCAGTACTTAAAGGGAGCCTATAGGAAAGATGGGGACAATCTTTTTAGTAGAGACAGCAGTGACAGGAGGAGGGATAATGGTTTTAAACTAAAACAGGGTAGGTTTAGGCTAGATAAAAGGAAGAAATTCTTTACAATGAGGGTGGCGAAACACTGGAACGGGTTGCCCAGAGCGGTAGTGGAGGCCCCATCCCTGGAAACATTCAAGACCAGGTTGGACAGGGCTCTGAGCACCCTGATCTAGTTAGTGCTGTCCCTGCTCGCTGTGGGGGGGTTGGACTAGATGACCTCTGGGGGTCCCTTCCAACCCAAAACTTTCTATGATTCTGTGAATTGGCAATATCTAAATGAAGTTAAGGTAAATGGATCCAATGCTAACAAATCCATTAATGTGTTCTCCCTGTATTGAATGTATTCTTGACTATAAAAGATGCTGCATTTGGGAATACGTATGTTAAACTGTTAAAATAATTTTAACTAAAGGATAATACTTTTTAACTGGAAAGTAACTGCAATTGACTTTGTCATATTAGAAGGAATACATTAAATTACCAGAACCATTATATGTCAAATTTGAATTTGTAGATAAATAAGGGAAAAGCAACTCCTTTAATGTATTCATATTTGACATGAAATTCTCTCGTTTTGCTTAAATGAAGAGCCTGTAATTTAAGTCAGATACACTTCTGGACTGACCTGTAAAAATAGGAAACCGGAATTTTTCGGATGCTCAGCACTGGCAACCGTAGCCTGGAGCCTCTCTCCTATTGTTTCTGCAGCCTGCAGTCCAAGTCCTTAAATGGCATTTCATGTGCACAGCTGCCAAATCTGAGGGCTTGGTGGATTTATTACTGGCTGGACAACTGCACTCTGTTTAGTTTTAAATTACCAGGAGGCTCCAGCCGGCATCCACATGGAGAAAATGTTGGGATTGCTACCTGTCCTGGACGTCCTTTCCTCAGAGGCAGGGATGTGAGAAAGGGCTCAACACAGACTGTTTTAAATCCTGTTCCTGAGGCTGATTCATCGTGGGGCCTGGCAGCCGCGGATCCTTCGAATAAAACTCTCGTTCCCAGCAACTTTTGCCCGAAGAAGTGAGACTAAAGGTCACGGAGCGAACGACCGCCTCAGCCGCATGGCCCCGCCTGGCCGGTTTTGGCGCCAAAA